GATGGGGAGGAGGAGGAGGAGGATGAAGATGAGGAAGGGAAGGAAGAGGAAGAAGGAGGCTGAAGAGGAGGATGGAGGGACGGAGGAAGATGAAGATGAGGAGGAGGAAGGAAAAGGAGGAAGATGGGTCGGGAGGAGGAGGAAGGTGGAGAGGAGGAAGGTGAGATGAAGGTGAGGAGATGAAGAGGAAGAGGAGGAAGGTGAGGAGATGAAAAGGAGGAAGGCAAGGAGATGAGGAGGAGGAGGAGGGTGAGGAGATGGGGAGGAGGAAGGTGAGGAACTGAGAGGAAGAGGAAAGTGAGGATGGACGTGAGGAAGAGGAGGCTGAGGGGAAGGAGACTGAAGGTGAGGAGGAGGAGGAGAATGGAGTGGAGGCTGAAGGCGAGGAGGATGACTCTGAGGCTGCCGAGGCCGATGCTGCCAAGGAGGAGGCGGCAGTGGCTCTAGCTGATGGCGAGGCCGAAGGTGAGGAGGATGATGCTGAGGCTGATGGTGAGGCCGAGGGTGAGGAGGAGGAGGCGCTAGCCAACGGTGAGGCTGAAGGTGAGGAGGATGCCGCCGAGGGCAATGGTGAGGCCGAGGGTGAGGAGGAGGAGGCTCTAGCCAACGGTGAGGCCGAAGGTGAGGATGATGCCGAGGCCAATGGTGAGGCTGAAGGTGAGGAGGAGGAGGAGGCTCTAGCCAATGGTGAGGCCGAAGGCGAGGATGATGCTGAGGCCGAAGGCGAGGCCGAGGAGGAGGAGGAGGGGTCTCTAGCCGATGGTGAGGCCGAAGGCGAGGATGACGCCGAGGCCGATGGCAAGGCCAAAGGCGAGGAGGAGGAGTTGGGGTCTCTAGCTGATGGTGAGGCCGAAGGCGAGGAGGAGGAGTTGGGGTCTCTAGCTGATGGCGAGGCCGAAGGTGAGGAGGAGGAGGAGGAGTTGGGGTCTCTAACCGATGGAGAGGCTGAAGGTGAGGAGGAGTTGGGGTCTCTAGCTGATGGCGAGGCCAAAGGTGAGGATGACACTGAGGCTGAAGGTGGGGAGGAGGAGGACGAAGGTGAGGAGGAGGAGGCTCTAGCTGATGGTGAGGCCGAGGAGGAGTTGGAGTTGGGGTCTCCAGCGGACGGCGAGGCCGAAGGTGAGGCTGACGCTGAGGCCGAAGGCGAGGAGGAAGAGGAGGGGTGCCTAGCCGATGGCGAGGCCGAAGGCGAGGAGGAGGAGGAGGAGTTGGGGGCTCTAGCTGATGGTGAGGCCGA